TTGTTTGATCGCATCAAAGAGCGCCAGTATGATGATCCTCACTTGCTTATCGTTAAGGATAAAGTTTAGGACGACGATGCCAGAGATGTGACTATTGGTAATGATGGGGTGTTGAGGATGCAGGGCCGGATATGTGTGCCCAATGTGGATGGGTTTCGGGAGTTGATCTTAGAGGAGGCCCATAGCTTGCGGTATTCCATTCATCCGGGTGCCGCGAAGATATATCAGGATTTGAGACAACATTATTAGTGGATGAGGATGAAGAAGAATATTGTGGGATTTGTAGCTCGGTGTCTCAATTGTCAGCAGATGAAATATGAGCATCAGAGACCGGGTGGCTTGCTTCAGCAGATGGATATTCCAGAGTGGAAGTGGGAGCGGATCACCATGGACTTTGTAGTTGGGCTCCCATGGACTTTGAAGAAGTTCGTGCTATCTGGGTGATTGTGGATTGGCTGACCAAGTTCGCGCACTTCATTCCTGTGTGTACTACCTATTCTTCAGAGCGATTGGCAGAGATCTATATCAGAGAGATAGTACATTTTCATGGTGTCCCAGTTTCCATCATCTCAGATAGAGGTACTCAGTTTACTTTGCAGTTTTGGAGGGCCGTGCAGAGAGAGTTGGGTACTCAGGTCGAGTTGAGCACAACTTTTCACCCTCAGACAGACGGGCAGTCCGAGTGCACTATTCAGATATTGGAGGACATGTTACACGCTTGTGTCATTGATTTCGGTGGTTCATGGGATCAGTTTCTACCGCTCGCGGAGTTTGCTTATAACAACAGTTATCAGTCGAGTATTAAGATGGCTCCATATGAGGCTTTGTATGGGAGGCGGTGTAGGTTTCCAGTTGGTTGGTTTGAGCCGGGTGAGCTAGGCTTTTGGGGACAGACTTGGTGCAGGATGCTTTGGACAAGGTGAAGGTGATTCAGGAGCGGCTTCGTACAGCGCAGTCGAGACAAAAGAGTTATGCTGACAGGAAGGTTCGTGATGTGTCCTACATGGTTGGGGAGAAGGTTCTACTGAAGGTTTCACCCATGAAGGGTGTTATGAGATTTAGGAAGAAGGGTAAATTGAGTCCTCGGTTCATTGGGCCTTTCGAGGTTCTTCGGAGGATTGGGGAGGTGGCTTATGATCTTGCTTTGCCACCCAGCTTGTCGAGTGTGCATCCGTTCTTTCACATTTCTATGCTTCGGAAGTATATTGGCGATCCGTCTCATGTTTTGGATTTCAGCACAGTTCAGTTAGATGGTGATTTGACTTATGATGTGGAGCCAGTGGCTATTTTGGGGCGTCAGGTTCAAAAGTTGAAATCAAAGGATATAGCTTCAGTGAAAGTGCAGTGGAGAGGTCGGCCCGTGGACGAGGCTACTTGTGAGACCGATCGGGAGATGCGGAGCAGATATCCTCACCTATTTGAGGCTTCAGGTATGTTTCTTGACCCGTTCGAGGACGAACGTTTGTTTAAGAGGGGGAGGATGTAACGACCCGGCCGGTCGTTGCATGAGTTACCGCTCTGTTTCCCCCATTTCTGCTTCTTTATATGTTGTTTAGCTGTATTTCATCGCATCATGTTGGTTAGTTTGGGTTCGGAGTGGTTTTGTGGAGAAATGTGACACTTAGTCTCTTAAGTTGGCCATTTAGTTGGAAAAGTCAACCGGAAGTTGACTTGTGAGTAAACGATCTCGGAATTTGGTTTTTATGATTCGGATAGCTTCCTGAGGTGACTTGGGACTTAGGAGCGTGCTCGGAATGTATTTTGGAGGTCTGGAGTAGATTTAGGCTTGAATTGGCGAAATTGGAATTTTGGCATTTTCCAGTTGGTAGTGGAAATTTTGATATAGGGGTCGGAATGGAATTCTGGAAGTTGGAGTAGGTCCGTTGTGTCATTTTGGACGTGTGTGCAAAATTTCAGGTCATTCGGACGAGGTTTGATAGACTTTTTGATCGAAATCGGAAATTTGGAAGTTTTAGAACCCTTAGGCTTGAATCCGAGGGTAATTTGGTGTTCCGGCGTTGTTTTGAGTGTTCCGAGTGTTGGTACAAGTTTGAATAGTGTTATGTGACTTGTTCTTAATTTTGGTTGAGGTCCCGGGGGCCTCGGGATGGATTCAGAAGGTTGGCGGAAGATTTGGAATTTGAGGAGAGTTGCAGAATTTTTCTGCTTCTGTTGTTTCCGCACCTGCGGATTGGGGACCGCAGGTGCGACGCCGCAGGTGCGTAGGAGAGGTCGCAGAAGCGGATTTGGGCCAATTGGAGCTTGGTCGCAGATGCGGTGCTTTGGGCGTATCTGCGGGACCGCAAGTGCGGTTCCTGGACGCAGATGCGGCCCCGGAGGATTTAATGAAGAACCGCAGATGTGTTGTCTTGACCGCAGGTGCGGTCCGCAGGAGCGTGAAATAGGCCGTAGGTGCGGAATACCTGGGCTAGAACCTATAAAAGGCTTCCTTCGCAATTTTCAGCTTTGTTTCACCATTTTGAAGTCGGATTGAGAGCTTTTTGGTAGATTTTGAAGAGGGAATTCAAGGGAACTTTGTGGAGGTAAGATTCTTAAAACTAAAACTCATTTCTATGGTGATATTTTACTGATTAGACATGTAATTTATGGGAATTAGTTGTTAAAATTGGTGGTTTAGGGCTTGAAATTGGAGGCTTTGATTCAAGGATTTGAGGGGTCATTTGTGGTCGAATTTTGATATATTTGGTATGTATGAACTCGTGAGAGTGTAAAGATTCTAGTTTTGTGATTTTTTATCGGAATCCGAGACGTGAGCCCGGGGGTCGGGTTTGGCCTATTTCCGGATTTTTGAGTAAATTTGGTTATTTTCGCGTGGGTTTTGTTCCTTTAGCCTATTTTGATGTTATGATTCTGATTTTAGATAAATTCGGGCCGAGTTGAGGCCGATTCGAGAGGAAAAGGCATTGCGGGCTAGAGTTTGGACCGGATTGAGGTAAGTAATGATTGTAAATGTTGTCCTGAGGGTATGAAACCCCGGATTTCCCATCGTTGTGGTATTTTAAGGTGACGCACACGCTAGATGACGAGCGTGGGATCGTGCACCGCTGGGGATTGTGACTTGGTCCACCCCGTACTACTATTTAATCGCATATTTAATTGGAAACCTTTTGATATTATTATATTTTGGAAAGTATTACTATGTTTGGGGCTAAATGCCGTGTTTGGGCCTTGTGCCGACTGTGTGGACCCTTAGGGTTTTTTTTACTACTGTTCCTCACTGTTTTGACAATATTTACACTCAATCATGCTATGCTCTCACTGATTTCATAACTCGGATTTTATTTACTCCTTTTGATTTTATAAATGATATTTTGAGCCGAGTACCTGTTTTACTGTTAGCCCGAGGGGCTTGAGTGAGTTCTGACTGAGGCCGAGGGCCTGTGTTGTGAGGATATCATGGGATCGGGTTGCGCGCCGCAGCAGGTTGTACTGATTTGTGAGATATGATATATGAGAGGCCGAGTGCCTGATTTGTTATGCCACGAGATGGCTTATGTTAGCGCTTGGGCTGTAGGAGCCCCTCCAGAGTCTGTACACCCCCAGTAAGCGCGGGTACCTAGTGTGTGTGATGTGATAGTGCCCGAGGAGCTGTTGTTGTTTCATATTGTTGCCCGAGGGGCTGATTACGAGTGATTGTGAGGTAGCCCGAGGGGCTGGTTCTACTGTTATTATGCCGGAGGGGCGGTTTATGGTACTTGTTTTGCCCAAGGGGATGTTTACGTTTCTATCCTTTTACTCACTGTTTTCATCACTCGTTTGAAACTATTGAAAGATGTTTTAAAGGGTTTTATTGAACTGAGTTGTTTTTACAAGTTTTATTGCTTTACTGCATTGTTCTGGACTTATATTGTTTTGCTGTAGCGTTATGACGTGGTTTACGTGTTTTCTTACTGCTCAGCTGCCTTTACTTTTATTACTTACTGAGTTGGTGTACCCACATTACTCCCTGCACCTTGTGTGCAGATCCAGGAGTCTCGGGTCGCGATAGCGAGTGCTGGTTAGCCTTTCTACAGGTCCCCGGAGTTGACTAGGTAGCTGCTCGGAGTTCGCAGCCCAGTGCTTCTCCTTCCTATCTTATTCAGCTTTGTATTAGCATTTGTTTTCAGACTATATTGTCCTTTCTTATTCCGAGACGAGTTGTAGTTGCTCATGACTGGTGATACCCCGATACCGGGCTGTGTTATGTTTCCGCACTGTTTATTTTAACTTATATTATGGGATTTTAGCTAATTAATGGTTTTAAATGACTTATTATAAATGTCTGGTTGGTTTTGGGGTTTGTGTCGGCTGGCCTAGTTTCACGATAGGCGTCATCACGACCGGGTCCGTTTTAGGGTCGTGACACACATATTAAGGAATTCACCTTTTAGTGTTAATTAACAATGAAATTGACCATATTAACCTGAATTTGCTCATTGGAAATATAACAAACTACACCGAGGTTTTTTACTTCAAGGACGACGTTGGAATGAAGAAGTTAATATTTTCTTGATATCCGAAAAAATAAATATTGTGGACCACAAAGAAAAATGCCCAAAAATGACATAAAGTGGAACGGAGGGAGGAGTAATGAATTAGAAAGTAGTAACAGGTAAAGATTGCTGAATTGTTTACAATTGTCAAAAAGTGACTCATGAATCTCCCTAAGTGCTTCCTGAATATTCTGCTTTGCTATCTCAGCTACTTTAACAACCAGGAATTGATATCATATAGTATTATACTAGTAGTACAAGTTAGCTGGCACCCCTTTATAGAACATATAGCAGTTTTAGAGCTAAATTATTAAAAAAGTATAAATAATAGGGCTAATTTCTTGGGGCGAAATGATAGGAAAAAAACAAAACAAAGAAAAGAAAAAGAGACAATTGTCTAAATTGATCAGAGCCTTTTTCCTTCCAATTATTGAGCTATACTGTAGGGAACTTACTAGTGCTAAAAAAACAGAGTTTAGGTAAATATTGGGTTGAGACGGACATAAATGAAAGAACATGGAAAATGAGGATTTATATAACCTGTCTCAACTTGCTTGGGATCGAGGCGTAGTAGCTTTTATACTGTTATTAGGATCCATTACAGGTGAAAATGCAATTCCTGTGCGCTTACTTAAAGCATTATTCCACAAGGAGAAAATAAAAATCAAATCAAATTGCTGTTCTAAAGTATGCAATATACAGAAGTAATAATCCTTTTTTTTTTTTTTTTTTTTTTTTACCATTTCATCTCTTTGTTCTACAACTATGGGTAATAAGAGCACCTGCAGGTGGACTTGTCATCTCTAACTGACATCTCCCATGTAACCAGTAAGAGTAATGAATTAGGCCAATATTAACTTTGACTTTGAAAGTTCCTCTGATGTTATAAACAATTCTGTTGCTTAGGACCTGCTTTTGGAGTTTGAATGCTGATATTGGTGGCAAATAAACCAAACTAGATATCATGTGAACTGGTATTAGCCGTGTTTCGCGTCGTCTCTGAGTGAAAGGTTGAAGAACTTGAGTTGCTATTAGACTATCTGAAAAATATAGCTCAATATCCAAATGCTCAAATCTCACATCCAGCTTCCTGTTTGGATTGGTGAAATTTGCAATAAATGTAAAATCACCATTCATATACTGTGGGGAGTCTAAGTAGATGAGACTGAGGCTAGCATTAGATGTATCAAACAGTGGATTTCTTGGTTTAATAGAAAGGAATATGACTAGTGTGACAATCCCAAAACATATAAGAAGTAAGCAGAATATCATGCATAGGATTGCAACAAACCATACTCCAGGATTTGTCCGTCTACGTTGTCGTGGTACAATATATTGTACTGGTTTTGTCTTGCTTTCAAATGGGATTTCTGGTGTCAAAGGTTGATTCAAGGCATGTTTTGACACGACAATTTGGTTCATAGGAGATGGTACTGGTACGCCGCGTTTATGTGATGGTACTGGTGGTGGTAGTGGTGGTGGTAACGGCGATGGAGTAAGGGGAAACATCTTAGGAGAAGTATATTCAGGAGAAAAGAAGCTCAAGCTCTCAGAGGAAGTCATGGCAAAATGAATTATGAGAGGAAAGAAGAACAAATGAATCTTGGATCTACTTATTAAGATGAAGTTAGAAGTGGATTAAGGAAAGTAAAAGGGAAAGAAGCTTTTGATTAAGGGAGGTGATGGACCCCTTTGTTGTTTTATTATACTATTTGCTAAAGGTAATGAGAGTAGGAACTAAAGTTAGGCCATTGATGTTTGGATTTGAATTGTGTGCTTGCTTTTTGCATATTTGAATCACTATATTTATTCATATTCAGGAAAATACAAAAGCAAAGTGGCCCAGCACGGGGCTCTACAACTTTTATTTTGGGGTCTAATTTGCTCTGCACTTTCCACTTTTTTCTTGAAATTCTACTAATTTGGGAGTAGAACATGGACCTGTCAAATGGACAATAGTTGATGGTATTTGGAGGACTTCATCTGCAGCATTAGTTGCCTTTTGATTTGATAGGTTAATACTTACACACTAAGAAAGTAATATGAAGAAAGAAAGTCAGAAAACTATGTGGTTAAGAAAAATCATTGTTCTACATGTTTAAATAAAGAGAAAATGGCTGTTAAGTGGCTGCTTTATAGTTTCTAAAAGCATCGCCCCCTAACTCACATAATGTTTCTATAAAGATGGCCAAGCAGCGTACGGGTTCCGTAAGCTTTAACTCATTTATCTTTTCTTTCTTTCTTTTCCTATGTTAATCAAAATAATTACACTTCTTTGAACGTCCTAATTTAATTGGACATGAAGTTTAAGAATATAAAATTAAAAAAAAATTGAATTTGTGATATTAAACTAACAGTGTGTTTAACATACCAAAAATATTACTTGAATCTTGTAATCTCAAACATGTAACATACCAAAAATATTATTTGAATCTTGTGATCTCAAACACTGTATGTAAAAATACAATATTTAAGGGCAAAATAAGAATATTAAAATTGAAAACTTACTACTATGTAAAAATACAATTATTTTTTCTAAAACAAATTAAAAAGAAAAGGAGACATAAAAATTACTATTTTATACTAATTAGGTTCACGCATATTATTACGAAAGAGTAGTGAGTGCAGTGGCATTTTGTACACACTGACTGAAAATTCTTTATTTTCCCTCTTTCCCTTCTTTTACTTGTGATGGAAAACGATCAAAGTTGTCCTCGTATCTTTTGGCAAGCGGAAGAATTTGAGTCGGTTGTTCTTGTGTAGGGTAAAATCGGTTTATATTAAATGTTCGTACGATAGCATGACACGTGAACAGATGAATGGGCAACTGAGGCATTTACTAAAGGGTTGAACCCGAGAAGCTCCGATGCCTCCCAAAAACTAAAAGAAAGCCTGCTCGAGTTCCAGGCAACTACATGGGCGGATGTCCATAACCGTTATGAATCAAAGATAAGAATAGAAGATGATCAGCTCGGGTTCCCGGCATCAACTCGGGATCGAGAAAAGAACAAGGATAAATCGAAGGATGATTTTGATGCAGATCGGCGATCTTCTAAGGGCCAATTTTTGCCCTACGAAAGGGCCGAAGGACGCGGCAGAGGGTTTCGGTCGACAAATAGGTTCGCTCCCGATAGAAGAACTGACCACGGCCGGAATAACAAGTCATTGAAAGACAAAGAGTTATCGGGTTCCTGGGATTCCACCTATCCCAGGCTGTCCGAGTACAATTTCAATGTCAGTGTAGTGGAGCTGGTATCGACGATGTGGAACATCAAGGATGCGCGGCTCCCGAGGCCGACGAGATCTGATCCCATCCAGAGGGACCCGAATCTATGGTGCAAGTATCATGGGACTAACGGCCACCGGATTAGGGACTGCCGACATCTGCCTAAGGAGGTAGCAACGTTGTTGAAAAATGGCCATCTCAGAAAGTTCTTAAGCGACCAGGCTAAGAACAACTAGGTCGCAGTCGAGACAATGCAGAGCCCTCGAAGATAGGTGAAGTCCCTCCCCGGCTAACCATCAACATGATTTTTGGGGGAAACGAGATCAACGGTGTAACATTCTCGGCAGCAAAAAAGACAAAAGTATCGGTGACTCAAAGCAAGAGACTCCGGGAAGTTGTCTAGGATGACATCACCTTCACAGAAGAGGACGTCGATGAACTTCTACTGTTGCACAACAATGCCCTGGTAATTTCTCTTAACATTCTAGATTTTAAAATTAAACGTGTTTTGATGGACCCAGGAAGTTCATCCAACATCATTCAATGGAGAGTGTTGGAGCGAGCCAAGCTAGTCGGAAGCATCATTCCGGCAACAAAACTTCTCGCCGGGTTCAACTTAGCAAGTGTGACACCCCGAGGGGAGATCTTGTTGCCCATAAACGCCGAAGGGGTCATGAAGACTACCTTATTTGAAGTAGTAAATGACGACATGGGTTCCAACATAATTCTTGGAAGACCATAGCTACACGAGATGAAGGTCGTACCATCAACAGATCACCAACTTCTGAAATTCCCAACTCTAGAGGGAATCAAACAAATAAGAGGAGATCAACCAGAGGCAAGGGAGATTAATGCGGTCTCGGTTTCTAGCAGTAAAGGGAAGAAACACGCAGCATGGAAATTACAGGAACTGACGCCTGCTCTCGAACCAAACAAAGATGACAAAGGGGAGGAGTCATCAGAATCCCACCAGGTACCAAGGTATTTCCAGGTACCGGAAGAAACAGACGCGAGTAGGTCCACGACGGAAGAACTCGAACAAGTGGTATTGTTGGAAAAGTTTCTAGAGAGGAAGTTCCACTTGGGGAAGGACTAATTAAACACCAAGCTTAGGTCTGGATTTATTGAATTTCTTAAAACTAATGGTGGTTGTGCACAAGCTAATCCTGAACCCAAGCATCCCGCCGGTAAGGAAAAAGAAGCGCCCAATTGCCGAGGTCAGAAACAGTTTGTTAAAGGAGAGGTAACTCGATATCAGTTCAATGCGGGAGGTAAAGTATCTCAACTGGCTAGCTAACGTAGTAGCAGTTCCAAAAAAGAATAATAAATTCCGTAAGTGCGTAGATTATAAGAATCTGAATAAGGTGTGCTCAAAAGACTCGTTCCCATTGCCAAACATTGATTAAATGATTGATGCAACGGCCGGACACGAGTTGATGAGTTTCCTCGATGCCTATTCCAGGTACAACCAAATTAAGATAAACTCGGCAGAGCAAGAAAAAACTTCGTTCATAAAGAACTTTGGCACATATTGCTACAATGTGATGCCCTTCAGGCTTAAAAATGCCGGAGCCACTTATCAGAGGCTCGTGAACAAAATGTTCGAAAAGCAAATAGGGAAAACAATGGAATTTACATAGATGATATGTTGGTTAAGTCTTTGAATGCAAGTGACCATTTAAAACACCTCCAGGAAACCTTTGACGTCCTAAGGAAGCACAACATGAAGCTTAACCTCGAAAAGTGTGCATTCAGAGTCAGCTCCGGTAAATTTTTTGGTTTCCTGGTGTCACAAAGGGGGATCGAAGTCAATCCTGACAAGATTAAAGCCATCGAGGACATTCCAGACCAGCTAACAAACGTGAAAGAAGTCCAAAGACTAACCGGAAGACTAGCCGCTCTAAGCAGGTTCATTTCTAGGTCTTTGGAAAAATGCCATCACTTTTTCTCACTTTTGAAGAAGAAGAAGAACGATTTCGAATGGACTCCAGAATGCCACCAGTCTCTAAAAGACCTGAAATGGTATCTATCCAGCCCTCCGTTACTACTAAAACCGGAGGAAGGCAAATAGTTGCTAATACAGTTAGCAGTCTCGGAGGTAGCGATAAGAGTCGTTCTAGTCTGGGAGGATGAAGGTACGCAATCTCCTATCTATTATGTTAGAAAACTTTTATCGAGAGCATAAACTCGTTATCCGCACCTCGAAAAACTGGCCTTAGCTCTCGTAGTCGTCGCTCGAAAGCATAAGCCATATTTTCAGTGCCACCCGATAGCCGTGGTGACAACTTTTCGCCAAGCGGAATGTCCTTCACGAACCTGAGTTGTCAGGTCGACTGGCCAAATGGGAAGTTGAGATTAGTGAATTTGACATCGAATATAAGCCCAGGACTGTGATCAAACCACAAGTTTTAGCCGGCTTCGTGGTCGATTTTAGCCCTGGGATACTACCTTTGGCCACAAATGAAGTGGTGATGGTGTCGGAAACAACATCATGAGTTTGGACCTTGTTCATGGATGGAGCCTCCAACCTGAAGGTGCCCGGGCTCGGGTAGTTTTAATCACGCCCTCGGGAAAAATCCTTAGGCATGCCATAAAAATTGTTCCCTTGGCTAACAATGAAGCCAAGTATGAGGCTTTGATTGCAGGACTTGAACCGGCCTGAGGACTAGACTCCGAGGTCATTGAAATCAAATGTGATTCCCAACTAGTGGTAAATCAAGTATATGGGATCTTCGACACCAAGGAGGAACACATGCAACAATATATGGTTAAAATTCAAACTCTGCTCGCACGGTTCAGGGAATGGTCAATCACCCGCATCTCGAGAGAAGAAAACACAGAAATAGATGCATTAGCCAATCTGGGCTTGTCCACGGAAAATGAAGGGATCAAATTCTGGTACGGTCGTACAACTCATGCACTCGGTACTAGATGTGGACAGTTATTATGAAGTAAATACAATCAACTTGGTCTGGGACTGGAGGAATGAAATCATCGACTACCCTGAGCACGGCAAGCTGCCTGAAGACCCCGAAGGCATCCCGGGCACTCCGCACCAAAGCAACTCGTTACAACTTCTAGGTAGGACAGTTATACAGAAGGTCGTTCCAAGGCTCATTGGCCCGATGAGCCTCCGAGGCTAATTAAGTCATGAGAGAGGTTCACGAAGGAATTTATGGAAATCATTCAGGTGCAGATTCGTTGGTGTTAAAATAGGGCAGGATACTACTGGCCCTGGATGGAACAAGACGCTAAGGCATTCATTCAGAAATGCGACAAGTGTCAATGCCATGCGCTGTTAGTACACAAACAAGCAGAACTGCTACATTCGGTATTATGCCCATGGTCATTCATGAAATAGGGGTGGATATAGTTGGACCGCTTCCACCGATTCTCTGGAAGGTAAGGTTTCTTTTAATTTTGACTGACTACTTCACTAAGTGAGTTGAAGTAGGTCCTTACCAGAAAATCACTGAGTGCGAAGAGATCGATTTCCTATGGGAAAACAAAATCTGCCGGTTCGGAATACCGAAGAAGATTGCCTGCG